CACACACACACACACACACACACATACACACACAAATGTACGTGAGATAAGAACGAAATTATAATAAATTTGTGTAAAGCATGTAGGAGATGTATATTTTTTTTAAGAAACAGGTGTTTTAAAAAAATTAAAATATCTACACGCTGCCGAGTGTATAATCCGCTATAGCAAAGGATCACTCAGATAGAGTAATGTATCCTTCCAGAAACAGTACAATTATCAACATCCTATGTTTAAAACGTTAATAAATAAACTCAAGGTCAATGTTTATTCATCAAGACAATTTTGCATCATAAAACTGTGATGAGTAACCCCTGCAGCACATCTCTACATCAAAAGGCTGACTTACCACCGATAGTATATTAGAAGTTCTTCCCAAACTGATGGCTTCGTCAAATAATGTTATGTACTCGTCAAACTGCAATCAGAACCAAGAACATAAAGTCGACATTATTTCGTTGAAGAAGAGTAATTATAATCTGAGGAGAGCCGTCAACAAAACCAGATGGGACTTGATCAGAACCACCAGGAGAACAACACCGACACCTTTTCCCCACTATATTCAGAGGCAAACAATCAGGTGGTTTAGAAATCTGACTCATATGGCACCTCACCATCTTATTTTAGTTTTAATAAGGATTTTACGGCACTTGCAACACTATAAGGGCATATATGTGCCGAAGATTAGATGTGTTACAAGAGAGTAGCAAATAAAAAAAGGATAGATCAGGACGATAGGTGTTTGATTTAAAAAAAACCAGGAGCAAACCACACCAGAGCACTCACCAACCACCCACCCTCAACATCTTGTCAGTAAAGAGAACAACAAAAGGATACCCGGGTAAACAAAAACAATCAAAAGTGTCTCACCAATCTGGGCATCTCATTAAGCCTGGCTAAGTAATTCTCAAAGTCCCCTCTGTTGTCAAAGGGCGTGGAGTCGACAAAAAACACCGGGTCTCTTTGGTTCCCCTCCAGCCAGCTGAGAGGGTTGATGTAGTTCCACCTAGTGTGGAGATCGGAGTGAAAGACTATTAGTTTTCCTTTGAGGGAAAGAGACAGAGTCAACAAAAGTCACATTTTCTGTTGTTATTTTATAATAATAATAATAATG